ATACCCGGCTATTGATTTGTTTTCCATTGATAATGTGGAAAAAAGACCAAGCCGATCTAACCTCAACACAGTAAAATGGCTCTGCGGGTATGCTGATTGGTTGAAGATGGATGCAGGGTAGCAGAAACGGTGTTTTACGACGTTGGCGTAACTCATACGTGATATCGTATTGACGTAGCGAGCGAGGAAACACTGGCCAGAAGAAACAGCACCGTACGCAGTCATACATGCGAGATACGCGAAGTGTCAAGCTATGAGACAGTCGTGAAATTCGGCGAGTACACAGCGCCACAAATGTTTAAGCACAACAACGAGAAAGTCAGGGCTATCAGGTCTAAAATTGCTGTGGTATAGGACAGCCTTTTTAAGAACAAAGAGGTGGACGGAAGCCGTTTTAGGGAAGATTCCATACGGCTAGTCATATGAAGCACTATTTGATACCGTATAAGTTCTTCCTTAATGTTAAGGAAGTTGGACCCTGACAAGATAAAGTGAGTGCTACGTGGGCGCGTTGATGTTCTCAGGATCGTCAATCAGAGAGAGGCAATCGGCTTCATGGTGCGGCTGGTCAGATTTGTAGACGACCGAATAGGAAAAATCTTGCATGCGCAAAGCTTAGTGACCAAGGCACCCTGATGGATATCTCAGACTTCAGCCGTAAGTGCGCGTGGCGGTCCACAACTACCAAAAATTTTCGTCCGTATACGTAAAGCCAAAATTTCGCAAGCGCCCAAATGAGAGCCTAGCACTCACGCTCTGTGAATTAATAATTACGTTCAGTGGTGAATAGGAGGTGGCTGGCGTGTGCAATAACGCAATCATGCCCACGTTGTTGCTGAGCCAGCCCTGCACCAGTCCTATGTACGCGTCTGTATGGATATCCACAGGGGCAGCGGGGTTGAAGTACGCAAAAATCAGAGGAGTAGTGAGAAGAGCTATGAGAGTCGAGAATGCAGAAGCCTCTTCCGAGCCCCATTGAAACTGGACGTTTCGCTTGAGGAGTTGCGTAAGATGCCGCGCTATTCGTGCAAACTGTTTCACGAAGCCCCGGAAGTAGAAACATAGTCCTTTGAAGTTGCGTACATCTTTCGAAGATTGTGTGCCCAGATAGTTTTCGACGGTGCTGATTTTAGCCGGGTTCAGGTATACACCTTCTGTGTCTACCATATGGTGAAGTACTGTGATATGGTTCCGTCCAAAGTGAAATTTGGACGAGTCCTTCTGAAGGCCAGCGCGATGGACGGAAGATGGCTAACACAGCTGAGTGGCGCTCATATGACTTTCAAATGTTGGTGAAAAAACGACGATGTCTTCCAGGTAGCACAAAGAGGCGGACAATTTGAATCTTCGGAGCAGGGAATCTATCATTCACTGAAAGATGGCTGAAGCCTTACAGAGGCGAAAGGGCATAACCTTGAGTTGATATGACCTTGGCCACCGGGGGAGCTGAATGCCGTTTCTTCACAGTTCATTTCATCTAGCTCAGTCTACCAGTAGCCGGAACGGATGTCTATGGAGGAAAATAGTAGTAGGGCATATAAAGGCAATCAAGGACATTATCTAATCGTGGCAGAGAATACATGGTTTTTCCAGTAATTCAGTTTAAAAGTCGGTATTTGACACAAACTCCATGCGTGGTCTTTCTTTAGGACAAACACGAGAGGAGAAGCCAAAGGGCTGCAGAGTAGGCTCAATGATGTCCTTAGCGAGCATTTTCTCGACTTCCCTGATGCTCAGCCACTGACACCCGATAGTTAAATCTATGAATGCGATGCTCATTACCAGTGTTTATGTGGTAATTCATACCAGTATCTTTCTCCAATAAACGGCCGCTGTGGTCTAAAATTCCGATGTAAGACAGCAGAATTCGGTGGAGCTCGTCAGTCTGCTGTGCCGTTAACTTGGAAGCAATCGTCGACCTAATAGCGCTGTCGGAACAATTGTGAAATTGATGTTGATCATAGGGTTGATAAGGAGTGGCCAACTTGAATGAACCTACCGCGTTGTCTTCTAAGTTGTCGAGCAACGCCTAGGAGATTCCTTGCGACAGCAATTGAGGTGTAAAACTAATGTTGACAACTGAGTGGCACGTGGAGTTTCCTCCGGCGGACAGAATAGTGTGTGGTTATATAATGGCGAGGTTGATGACGACAATGGTGATGGGGTTCAGAACATAGCCATCGTCAGGAACTGGTGGTACTGAAGGCGAGCTCTACGTAGGTCAGTGTTTGTGGAGGGATGTGCACATGCCCCGTTGTGCATAGGCGACTAGGCCGTTGTGCAAGAGGTTTTGATGTGGGCAAGTGTAGACAGGGCGTATTAGTCGAACAGTATATGAGGGCACAATGCGCGAACAGAAAGTCGAGGCCAAGGATTACGTCGTGGGGCCATTAATCAAGAATGGTGAAGAGAACAACTGTGTGACGATCCGCGATGCCTACACGAGCGGAGCATATTCCAACGATTGATGCTATTTCACCATCTTGAACATGGACGAATTGAGTGCATGGTCATGTGTGTGAGAACCTTCTTGAGTTTGCGGCGAAAATCACGCGTCATAACGGAAAGCTTAGCGCCGATGTTGACAAGAGCAGTCACATGCCGGTTGTTTACTTGATTGTCGATCAGGTTTTGTTTAGTGTGTACGGTCCAGAGAAGGCGGGGGAAGATAATTGTCGAACAGTGGAGAACGAGACTGGCGACGTTGGCAGATTGTGAGCGGGAGTAGCAGTGTTCAGTGTCAAGTTCCTGGGCAAAATAGTCGGGGCTGGTCTCATGATAATAAGCAGGACGAGCATGGAAGGTAAAGAGAATGCTTGAGCAGGAAGACTTCAGCGACTTTTGCAGTGGCGAGAATTGTGCAAATTTGGTGACAAGACAAGCAGATGGCCTTGTCATTGTGTGTTTTCCATGTGCACGGATTACGGCACTTTGAGGGAGAGCCGCTTGGGAAGACACGTTTAGACATGTACTGGGGCAGGAAGTTAGCACGGGCAGGCGGTGAAATAAAGCTAATAACCAATCTGGTGATTTTCTGCCAGACGAATGCTTCAATGAGGGGCAATGTGAATGACGGAGAGGGTTCAGAGGACGTTGGCCCCAGCGTAACTGGAGGAGCTGCTTCAAGTTTCCACGTGACGAGTCGCATAAGTTTATATCAGATGCCTGGTGGACAGCATGTGTCGAGACACGAGGACATCACGGTGTCATTTGGAAGGCACTGAAACTGATGGGAGATGTGCCTGCTGTAAGTTTGTTGGAGCCAGCGACATTCTTGCATAATGGCATTGTTGAATACAAACATTGGTATTCAACAGTCTACATTGTTGAATACCAACAAGGTAAACGTGTCGTTGGTGATACCCTTGAATACACGCGCGGCTTTTTCGGGCTTGGACAAGTTCTTGCCGGCCTTGTGGCATAGGGCGAGGCTGAATGTAGCTTATGTAGGGTTCGGTAGAAGTAAGTTTGTGCACGGGTTGATAACTCATTCTTCGTGACTTGTCGACGACCAAACCGGTTTCGAAAAAGCACACGGAACTGTTCCTCGAAGCTGTTCTAGCTATTAATGTGATGCTCACGGGTGGTAAACCAGACACGAGAGGGTCGGTTGAGGTAAAATAAGACGTGCACGGGCATGAGCATGGGGTCCCACCTAAAGAGGCACTGACTGGTTTCTAGAGGCATAGCCATTTGTCAATGTCGGAACTCTCACGGCTTGAGAACGCGCCGAGGCTTTTGAGGGCAGGAAGTGTCACGAAAGGTGTTGCGGCCACTGGGTTGGCAAGCAGGGCAGGAGGCGTGGCGACCCTAGAGAATGTAGTCGAGTCTTGATTGCACTTGTTGAAAGCCGCGTGAGAGCATCTGCTTCGGAGTTCCATGGCAAACACGGGAATCACACCACTACACCAAATACGTTTCGAGAAGGACACGGACTCGGAAGAGTAGACACAGATATATTTACAGCCACAAGAGTGAGCAGTGCAAGCCATGCAGATTAGTTTGCGCCAGTCTATCTTCCTTGTCCTCTTTATGTTCATGCCAGTGATACGTAGCAATATGAACAGCGAAAGTATTCTACCTCGGCATAAAATGAGTAGCCATACACGATAACTATCATACTCATGAACAGGGACGTGCCACAGAAATTGGATGAATCAAACTGCTGACCGCTTCTGCATGGTCGGCAATAACCTGTGAACGAGAGAAGGGGGAGTGAGAGAAAGGAACAGAGACACAGAAAGAAATATGTAATGGCACAAAAGTTCTTCCAGAGAAAAATTCTTCACGAGTCACGATTCACACCCGCGCACCTTCGATAACCACTTGGCCATCCAAGCGCACGAGCACAGAATAGCGCATTTTTTAAGCTATAATGTAGCAAAGGGGTGGGTAAAATAAGGGAGCGTTACGACGATATACAGAGAAGGAGAGAATGTAGAGCGTAGCGAAAAAAAGATTGACAAATAGAGAGAAAGATGTAAATGCATAAAAAAAGAAAGATCAACAAAGAAGACATCAATAAATTGAAAAAGAGAGAGGAAAAAAGTCAAAGTGGAAGCCCGCATCTTATTGAGTAACGACGAGATGTCGGAACACCTCGCGAAACCCCCCATGCGCGCCAGCTGAGCGACGGCTGCCGACGGAGACCACGCGAACTATCCGCTGTATAGCGCATAGACTTCCTGTGCCTGATCGAGTCCAGAAAGTCATGAGGCATCGTAAAAGAAACTGCGGACTCTTGAGGTGGAAGACTTGCTTATTGAAGCTAGATGTGTTATTTGACGAGGAGTACGAGTGGTGATGGGCATGCGCTTCACTGCATCTGAGTTTGAGGGACTGAGTGTAGTTTGCCTCAACTTTTACGACAGATATTTACGCTAGATAACGCATGCAATGCTTCTTTTCTTTCCGGTCCTTGCCCAATATCTACTCGTTCTGCGTAAATTGAACTCCTGAATCACAACGTATTATTCTAGTGCTGCTGAACTGTGCTGTACCTTGAGGTGTAGTTTCGAACTGACCGCCAACATTTTTAGTGCCAGTTGTGAACTTGTGAAGGCATGGGTTGCACCACCATCACTCATTTGGAAGAGAAGTTCATCTGCAAACCACCACAAGAAACAAGAGAGTAATTAGTATATTTGAGAACCAGAAAGTTAGTGCGATACCTCTGTATTCCCATGTATAATGATGACTCATGACACTTGTGCAGTTAACTTGTTGAATTAGGGCACATTTTGATAGGTGTGATGTACGTGATTTCTAAAAAAAGTAATTTCGAACCTATGAATGACAATTGCAAAGTGCTATATTATTATCCACATACAGTGTGATGTCTGCTGTACACCAGGCCTTGAGCACGAAGTCGAAAACGCCAAGCTGGCAGTAAAGTCCGCAATGAACCGTTCATTGTGCTTTTCACATGGCTTTCACGAAAATGATGATGATACACAGTTATGTTCCTCTTACGGGCAGCCATATATGAGTAGTCTTAGATACGTAATCTACGGAACACAACACCCTCTACAACGGCATGCGCACACACACAAAAACCATATAGTGCAAGGATCATGTATGTGTTGCAATCTACTTGCATGAAATATCTTCTAAAAAGTTACACGAGTATAAAATTCAGGAGATCTTTGACAATCAGGTACGCCACCTTTTCGCTACAGGTTACCCTTTTGTGGTGCTCACAGCTGTTGGCGAAACCGTGATTCAGAATAAAAAAAAATGAAAAGTGCGGCGTGTAAATGTGAACTTTTGAGGCCGATTGTGAATTAGGATAAACAATAACTGACACATACTGATCCACAGAGAGTTAGAGGGAATTTTATTGATAGATATTGCGACGTTATTGCCAAGAAAAGTGGACATTACCAACGCGCCTGCAGGGACTGAACCACGATTTTCAAATTACGGGTCTCATGCTTCACCACTGACTCACGGGGGTGGTCATTCCTCTGTCCATTCTGAAGGGTATATATTGACCAATTCCTGCCTCAAGTTTTGTTATCGCCCTTAAACAATGTAAGCTATGCATTGCACAAGCTTTGCTGAATGATCCATGCCCTTTCGATGCAATTTGGCGCACAACACTAGCATTACAGTTTGTTCTAAGAATTACGTGGCAAATTGCAATAACAATATAATATTAGCGGCACATGTTCTAATGCCAACGCGCTTGAGCACTTGATAGTGGATAGCCAACGGTGAGTACGCCGCTATCATTGCCAGTGTGTATTGCTGTAATCCGATTTTTAGGCTCTCGGCCCGAAACTCGCCCAAATAAACAGTTATTTTATTCGAAATGCCTTCTTAGCCTAATAAAGGGCATTGAGTAAAGGGGGATATCAGTAAATACACTGCAAAACAATACAAACATAAAGGGAAAAGAGCAATACAACGAACAAAAAAGCAAATAAATGATAAATAGCAAGGTGCAACAAAGTTGTACAGAATAAAAACGCCACAAAATCAGGTTATCTCGAAGAGATTCACAATTAGAGATGGATACGGTGTAATCTGGATGGCTGTTCTAATGTGCTATGGCTCTAGCTAATGTTTATTAGTTAAATGCCTGTGTGTCATCATGAATGCGCATTAAATACGTGCGCTGTGAATCCGTCTAGATGTGCGAAGAGGGACATGCCATGGCAGACAGTGGCATGTGTTGCTGTAGATGTACCTTTGAAATAAATAAAAAAGGCTGATCACGCGGCGTTGATATAGTGACATTAAAGCAAGGACTTATTTTATTAGGGTGATGCCTAAATGATAGTCGTAGTTACCAGCTATGGTTCTCGCTGCCTATTCTGCACGGCTATTCTGATGCGGTGATCAAATGGATGAAGCATACTCTAATTATGGATGAATATAAGTTATATATGATAATTCACGAATGTTAGAAGGAGCATTGCGCAAATTTATGCGCAGATAGCCGAGAGACTGGGAGGCTTTTGAAGAGACAGGTGCTGTGTGCGTACTCAAAGGTAAGCCTGACGAAAGGTCTACTATTTTTTAATTGTGCAGACTGAACGTTTTTTTTCATAATCATTATGATCAGCCTGACTACGTCCACTGCAGGAAAAAGGCCTCTCCCATGTTCTTCCAGTCAACTCGGTCCTGTGCTTGCTGATGCCAATTTATACCCGCAAACTTCCTAATATCATCTGCCCACCTAACCTTCTGTCTCCCCCTAACCCGCTTGCATTCTCTGAGAATCCAGTTAGCTCCCCTAATGACCAGCGGTTATGCCTGTCTACGTGCTAAATGCCCAGCTCATGCTCATTTCTTCTTCTAGATTTCAACTATGATATACTTAACACCGTTTGTTGCCTAATCCACTCTGCTCTCTTCTTGTCTTTTAAGGTTACACTTACCATTTTTCTTTTTATTGCTCACTGCCTCATCCTCAACTTAAGCTGAACCCTTTTTGTAAGTCTCCAGGTTTCTGCTCCATAGCAAAGTACCCGCAAGATGCAGCTGTTACATACCTTCCTCTTGAGGGATTATGGCAATCTACCTGTCACGATTTGAGAGTGCTTGCCAAATGTGCTCCACTCCAATCTTATTCTTCTAGTCACTTCAATATCGTGGTTCAGGTCCGCGGTTATTACCTGCCCTAAGTGGACATAATATTTTACAATTTGAAGTGCACTATTACCTATCTCGAAGCGCTGTCTCTTCTGAGGTTGTTGTACATTACTTGTGTTTTCTGCCGATTAATCTTAGGACCCACCTTTCTGCTCTTCTTGTCTAACTCCGTAATCATGAGTTGCAATTTGTCCCCTGAGTTACTCAGCAATGTAATGTCATCGGCGAAGCGCAGGTTAGTAAGGTACTCTTCATTTACTCTTATGCCTAACCGTTCCCATTCCAGGCCTCTGAAAACCTCCTGTAAGCAAGCGGTAAATAGCATTGGGGAAATTGTATCCCTCCGCCTTACACCCTACTTGATTGGTATTCTGTGGCTTTCTTTATGAAGCAATATGTTAGCAGTTGATTTCTTGTATATTTCTTCCAGGATGATTATGTATACTTCATGGACGCCCTGATTCCGCAGTGTCTGCATGACTGCTGATATTTCGACTGCTCAAGCGATTTCTCGTAATCTATGAAGGCTATGTATGGTGTTTTTTTACTTCAGAAAAAAAAATGATGAAAGGTCAAAATTAAGATATTTATTCAATTGTGTCGCTGACACAACGGAATTATCAATAGTGTAGAGAAAAGACGAGTTTGTACGCTTCTTAGTGATCAAAATTAAATTGCATTTGAGGGCGTTTAGAGACATCTGCCAGACTTTTGACCACCTGTAAGTTGAATTAAGGTCATTTTGAAGAACGGTATGACCACCAATAGATACAATATTGCGGTAGAAGACGCAGTCATCTGCAAACAAGCTAGCTGAAGATGAAAGGTTATTGGACAAGTCAATAATGTATATTAAAAAGCGTAATAAATTCTGTACACTGCCCTTGAGAACACCACACGTGACATCGCAAACGTTAGATGAAGTGCCGTTAATCACCGTAAATTGCTGACGGGTTGTCAAGAAGTTGCGGATCCAGTACAGTGTTAATGATCGATGCAGAGAGAACACAATTTAGAGGACAAGCGACAATGACGGACTGTATCAAAATCTTTCGCCAAATGAAGAAAGAGGAATCCTTTTGATCGTTGCCGTTCATATTGAAGTGAAAGTCAGAGGTGAACTCGAACAAGAGAATGTCACATGAGAAGCCTGAAGCCATGCTGATTAGGGAGAAAGAAGTTATTTGATTCAAGGCGATCATACATATGCGAAGATACATGTTCAAGTAGTTTGCTGGAATGCGCATGTTAGAGAAGCGGCTCGAAAGTTACGGGCCGAGTGCCTGTCACCGGACTTGAATACGGGGACTGCCTTGCCTATATTCCAGTCCTTAGGCAGCTCACCATATAGCAAAGACTTGTTAAAGCTAGGACACAGACAGTGACTTCAAATATCGCCGGCGCTCTTCAGTATTTCAGAGATACTGTTAGCAATGCCTGATGGAGTAGAGACTTGAGATTCATTGGGAAGTTCGTGATACCTTATGCAGTGGCGGTGATGAAAGTCATGAAAAGGAAGGACTGATCAAGGACAAATGGCGCAATGAAACCATTTTTTTTTTTTGTAAAAACTGAAGCGAAATATGCATTGAAGGCAGTCGTGGAAGCTTCATCAGAAAGCAGAGTTTGTTTAGCATCTCGTAATATAACGCGATAAAATTAGTTATTGAAAAGAGAGATTATTTGCCGGAATTCTTTAGGATTGTATTTGATAAGTTTGGGCAAGTCCTGCGAATATTATTTCTTCTTCGCTGCGCCTAAGGCTTCACAGTTCTCATGCACGTACACCTTGTATTTTTACCAGTTGTAAGGAAAAACATAGCGTTTAGCATTTATATACGAACGTTTTTTTATCCCGTAATGCTCGAAGCTACTTTGTAAACTAAGGTTTAATCTTATTGTTAGATATAGAGATTAGAGTTGTGAACTAGTTAACAAGCTCTAATATTGTCCTTGAAAAGCAATCCAGTTGGCGTTTACGGTCCGTGAGGCCAACGATGGCAGAAAATACTCGCGATAAAAAAATTTAGGTCGCTGTTAAATTGTTCCTAGTGACCACGGTTATAATGGCGAATAGTTTTAGTCACTGCGCCAGTAAATATGAAAAGGCAAATTTATTTGGAAATCAATGAGCTTGTGGTCACCTAATCATTCTATGCGTACAATTGCTCCATTAGTTTCACTACATTATTGAAAACCGGGTTCCGTATTTTGGTACCACGGTGAGTGGATAATCATCTGGTGACAAATGGTAGTCGAGAGTTACTTTCAAAAGCGTTTAGGAGCTGCAAGCGTGTCGTAGACATAGTAGACTAAATCAAAGCGCGGGTAAATAGAACCACTAAAAAGGTATATCATATCAGCTGAACACAGTTGTGTAGGTCACTCTATGTTATCCTTCAGAACCTCGGGTAATTAGGGATTTGCATTCGGCGGATGTTAACAAGATTCTATAGGTATTTTGGCATAAGCTGTAGTGCATACAGTCCAAGTTATTTCTACGAA